CCCCCCCCCAGCTGCAGGCACACCCCAGGTTTTTGCAGTGCTGTGAACAGACAGCTGGACAGGTGGGATACTCCCTGGTGGGCTCATCTCTGACACCTCATTTGTCAGCCCATCTCCATCCCAGTCCTTCCCTCCTTCAGTCATCCACACCTCTCTCTCTGGCTGATGACATTTTTGCACACATTTCTGTGCTTTTGTCCTATCAATCCAGATTCATACCCATGGACGCCAGCAGAAAATTGTTACTAGACTTCATAGGGTGAGGGTCTCAGCAGCCCCCACATTTGGGAACTTAGCTTTGGCTTTTGCTGAAGTTAGACAGCACCAGACCAAGCCTTAAAGTCGGGAATCACATTTCTAGGAGGTTACATTGACTTGCTGAACATGCATATGGACTTACAAAGTCTTTCCTCACAATCTGTTATGTAGAGTGAGGTTGGTAATTCTTTGCCAGCGAGCAGAGTGTTGGTGATTCATTGCTAGTTTTGGTTGGTGTCTCAGTGATAGAGGACAATATCTACAGAAGCACTGATCTTGCTAAATCAATTTTGCAAAATGTGCATGAGAGGAGAGGCAAGAGGTCCTGAAAGAAGGAAATATTGTTGCTTTTGGATACACCCGCTGACTACTACCATGAAATACATGTTTTCTAGGGTTTTCCCAAGGCAGCGCCACCTGTCAAAAAAGCCCCAGAGACTTAAGGTTGAAAGTGAGCATCTGCTCAAGCCGACTGTCCTAAACATAATGATTTCATAAAGCACCATCAGCTGTAGTGACCTACTAGAGAGAAAAGAGAGCAGGGAGTCTGGGGTGAGGAGGAATGGAGCCAGCCAGTTAAATACGGCTTTGTGTGAAAAGTGAGATCAAAATATCAAAGATAAGATAGTGACGAAGGAGAGGAGGAAAACTGATGAGGAAAAAACAGATTAAGATGATCAGGAAAGGGGCCAGCGGAGGACCAAATTTTACATTTGAAGATAAATTGGACTTCCTTACTTTGGTGGAACTATGTCAGAAGAGGAACTTGAACTTAAATGTTAGAAGAAAATACATATAGAAAATGAGACATTTTAGAATTATGCTGACACTTTTCATGTCAATATGAATAGTGCTATTTGATACAGTAATGGTTTTTCTGGTTTGTGAACATGATTCACTGCATCCCAGATCATGATGGGCTTTGTATGCTGCTGCCTGAATAAGCTGAGTCCATATATAAAAACTGAATTACGAAAAAAATGCAGTGTTGATGGACAGGTCTGGAACAACCCGCAGGGAAATACGGGATTTTTGTGTGGAGCCTTTTATGGATGATGGCATTCATCTACGAGCTGTACAACTCTGTCAATATATTGATACAACTCTATCTTCATTGCGATGGAGTATTAGGATGGCCTCTGCCTATATGAGGGGTCAGTGCTGTGAACCAGTTTGCCTTTCTGCCCATCTGGGAGCATACACACACAGACATACTTGCAGATAAGTAAATAATTATACATAACTGGTTTGTATGCCCTACTACTGCATAGGTACAAAAGGATTGCAGGGAACTGATTCTGCAAGACCTAATGTATAACATAGCTGATGGTTGTTATGACATTGATCATATCCATTCTGTAAAAGGTAGATTGCAGACTAATTCTTGTTTTTGTTTTTGTCCTTCAATCCTAGCAGAAAATGGACCCCGTCTACTTGTGGTAGCAGAGCAAGCTAAAATCTTCTCACACCGGGGTGGCAATGTCACACTGCCATGTAAATTTTACCATGAACACACATCAACAGCTGGCTCAGGAACCCACAAAATCCGGGTCAAGTGGACCAAACTCACCTCAGATTACCTCAAAGAAGTGGACGTCTTTGTTGCAATGGGGCACCACAGAAAGAGCTATGGAAACTACCAGGGCAGAGTGTTTCTGAGGGAAAGCAGTGAAAACGATGCCTCTCTTATAATCACAAATATAATACTGGACGATTACGGGAGATATAAGTGTGAGGTGATTGAAGGATTAGAAGATGATACAGCAGTGGTAGCTCTGAATTTGGAAGGTAGGTGACACCTGAATTTCTTAAATTCAGATTTGTGCAGTGTTAAGTAATACCTGCTTTTTTCTCCTAATACTGCTGATATTGTATTATTGGTGATCACAGCCAGCTAAGAAGTGGGATTCATTGTGCCTTGGGGATCTTGGCCTGACAGCCCATGACCATGACAGCAATCATAAATTAGAAGAACATTAGGACTTCTATGACTTATGCTGCCTATGGCATTTTCAGCTCCCAGTGAGACTCAGTGTGAGGGGAGCCAAAAAAGAATGACCAAACATAGTATGAAGAACTCCATATGTTTTTAATTTTCTTCTATCACTTTACAGAAGTCATTGCATGTTTTTACAGCAGACTTAGGCAAAATTATATTAAATATTGTCCTAATAGCCATTTTACAGAACTTTGGGACATTTTAGGTTATCGAGGAAATACAAATCTTACAAAAAGGAAAAAAGTTGAAGTAGTTTTCCAGAGGCAATGGTTTTGTTTTTTCCAGCCTTATAATTACATAAAATAGATCTCTATATTGCATGTCAAGACAACTCCTACATGTAGTCTGTAGTAATTTCCCTCAGCAATAGTCTTGAAAACAGTAGAGTACAAAGCACTAGAAAAATTAGTGAAGTAGGTTTGAGGACCAAAAATTCAGCTTTCCTTTACTCTTGTGAAATTCAGGTAAATTTTATGAGATTCAATACATGGAAACCAGCATTTGGCCTTTTCCACCAAAACACTGCAGTGAAGTCAGCAGTAAACTAAAAGTTACATGAAGATGTCTCCCTTACCCTTACTTAGCAGTAAGTGTGTGCCAGAGAGAACTTTATAGAAGTCATATTATCTGTGAAAAGTGGTTAGGAAGAAAAAAAGAAAAGAAGAAAATCAAACCCCTGGCTCTCACACCTGTAAGCACGTGAAATATATGACTCTTTCATTGAGGGTTATTGTATATTATAGTGATTATATAGTTACCCTGCACAATAAGACTGGCTGAGTGGTTCTTGGAACCAAATAGATGTCACGGCCTTAGCTTACTTCTTTACATCTGTTTTTCCATTCCTGTTTGGAGGCTGCTGAAACCTTCCATTTCTGAGTGCAAGAAAGGCCCTGCACAGTTTCCATGCCAGCAGAATAGTTGATTTAGGTTGCTTCACCTCCCATAATCCGTCTCTAATAAGAATGCACGCTGTTCTTTTCAAGGTTAGGAGATGAAGAAAGCTGGACATATACATGTCCAGTTTAAGTTACCTAAAACAGTTTTGAGTGAAGACAGAAATGAGTAGGAGGAAAAAGCATTTTATTTTATTCTTCTCTTCTAGCCAAAGGCTCTTGTGTGTTCAATCTCCTCTTTGTGTGGGCAGGGACTGCAGTGGTTGCTCATTGCAGCTGCTGTCATTGAGACGAGCTGCTGAAGGAACAGCAGTTTCTGCTTGGCATGCTCAGCTTTACCTAAGTGAAAGCAAGGCTCTGATCAGCTACCCAGGCTGCAGGTATGGGCCCTGTGATTGGGAGACAAATTATGAGGTGGGCAGCCTCAGGGACAAGAGTAATCCACCTCACAGAGTAGTTTGTAGGCAATAAGGGTGTAAATAAAAATGTGGTAAGTACAGCTATTTACAGTACATGAGGAATAGCAAGCACCACGTAATCCAGGTCAGAAACATGCAGCATTTGTTTATCTGTGTTTGACCCCAACACATCTCTTCTCCTTTCATGCTGTTCTGCAGATGGTCCTGGAGCCCACCCCTGGGTTGCGAGGATGCTCAATAATTTAATAATAGTCTTCTGACAGTCTCCTTACATCCTACCTGCATACCTCTATCAGGCTTCAAGATATTCCAGTTAAATAACTATATATCTTGTTCCCCATCAGATACTGGGATTTCCCTGTATTTTACAGCATTATGGTATTTTTGCTGATGTAAAAGGGTTGGAGCCAATGTAACATCTTTAAAGTGCTCATCATGCCACACGTCTGGACCAGATACTTATCTGGTGCCATTTAGCATTGTGCCTCCAAAGCAAAAGTTCATTAGCTTTCTGCTATTACAAGCAAGAAGGTTCCAGTACAAATGCCTCCTGCTGTGCCAGGAGTGCTTGAGAAAGGGGATATGCTGATGGCTGTAGTGGTAGATCAGGAATTTTTGCCTGAAGCTTGGTACAAATACTTGCACACATGCAGAGATCCACACTTGAAAGGCAATATTTGATTGACACTAGAGTAAGAAAGCAATGAGAAATCTTTCCTTTACTGCATACAGTAACACAAGTGAAAAAAGGACATTTTTCTACCTTTTTTAGTGTGACTGTTTCATGATATAGCACCAGCCAATTGGACACGAGGTCTGGCTCCCACCTCCTGATATACACTGTCCTTCTAATTACTGCTGTTACTAATTATTGTTACTCTAAACAGTGTCTCCCTCTGAAGCATGCCAACTCCAGCCCATCCTGTATAACAGCACCAGTCCTTCCTGTTTTCCCCCACCTCCAAAATAAGGAAATTCATAAGGATAGGAGAAATCATATTTCTCCAAATAACTATGTTCTAATCTCTGCCCAAAGGAAAGTTTATATATTTTAACTAGGGTCTGGTTAACACAAGGAACAATGTTTTTTAATTATTTTTGTCAGGTATGGGACAGGTGTCAAACTGTTCATTTCTGATGTTATAGAGTGATGTTTCCTAAGCAGACAGGAAAATTTCATTTGCAAAACTTTATGGTAAAACATAACCTTTCAAGAAGTGAGATACGACTAACGAGTGTGTCAATGTCAGTTCTTCTTATGGCAACTAAGTCAAATGATTCTGTGTCTAAGTTTCATTGAAGTTTCCTTCTAAAATGATAATGATTAAAATGCACTTATATTTACAGCGGACATAAAGAGTTGATGGAATGTAGGCTTCTGTTTGCATGCCCCTGTGCTTATTTTTTCATCTCATATGCTGCTTTATGTGGTGCTGGCTTTAATTGCTGTTTCATGTATTTGGGTAATGCAGAACAGATCAAGCAAAAAGTAAAATTAATCTTTGGACAAAACCAAAAATGTATCAGCCCATCCTAACATTCTACATCTGCTATAAATAATGAAGTTTATGTCACAGTGGGAAGGATTTGCATCAATAGCCTGATGTCCTGAGATGGTGGCCCTAAGGATGTTAATTGGCAGCAAGACAAAAACATTTATATCCAGGAATGCCCGCTAGCAGTGCAAACAGCTGATCACTCCAATGTGAGCTCACTGTACAAACAGTATAGCTTTGGCTAGGTGAAAGCATGTTAATATATCAATATGAAAATAGTTGACCTCTACCTCAATGGACCTTTTTTCTTCTCCAAATGTGGTAGTGTTTTATTCTTATTAGACTTAAAGGCCTCCTGGAATTGCCATTAAATAAATTATTCATAATAACTGTGCACTTTTAGCTTTGAAAAAACAGTGGCATTAGATTCAGTCTGTATTTGTTACATACCTCACATGTTTTTGGTACATTTTCTTTACTCTTATTTAATGCAGAACCACACCATTTTCCCCCTGCTCTAGTGAGACAGTGCCGTCTAGCAGATAAAGCTCAGGACTAGGATTCACTGCAGTATTTCACAGGCACCAGATTTAAGAACTATTCAATCATGTCATGATTATCACCCTGTTTGTAGCCTTATGTACAGGTACTCGTCTAAGGGCAGGAGGGTTGGGCTGAGCACAGCGGCTGCAAGAAATGTCAAGCACTGCAGAAAGCAGGACACTTTTTGTGCTGGCCTTGTCACCAAAGCCATTTTCTCACTGAAATGGCCTTACTCTCCTCCTGCAGATAAAATACGGATCATGGGTTTTACAGTCTGTCAAATGTCCTGAGAATCAAAAGCTTAACAAATTAAAAGGTCTCCTATGGCAGGTAGATATTGTTGCCTGAGTCATAAGCAAAGAATTCTCACCTTACATTAAATTTTCTTTATGTTGGTGTTTTACTGTTCTACATTAAATTTGCTTTATTTTAGTGCCTTACTATTTTCCTTTCTTATGAATACTAGGCACTGTAATGAATCTCACTACATCAGGTTGTTTGCTTCAGCTTCCCAGGCATGCAAAGGCTCCAGCACGGGCCCTTGGTTATAATGCTCAGGCACAGACTTTGTGTACTATTCCTTCATAGGATTCATGGGCCAGATGACAAAGAAAGTGGAACAAGGCTAAACTGCCAAAGGCAGATTTTTACTCTGTTAGGAATTTTTGCTATAGTTTCTGTCTTCAGGGAGAGGTGATAACTGAACACAGTAGTTTTGCAATACAGGCTATAAAATAGTTACTTTGCATGTTCAACAGTACCAGAAATATGCAGATCTAGATAAAACCATTAAAAAACTCTGTAGAAAGCTGCTTCTAGATAGAAGCTAATTCTTTAGGTGGCTCCACATGAACCAAAAAACCCATCAGATTTTATGATCTTGCTTGGAGGTATGTTAGCATGTATGTCCAAGATAGAGATAGAAAAAGAACAGGCACCTCTTTAAAAAACAGACTTTACAGTTCAAAATAGATCAAATCCATAAGCTCCATATAAACAAATCCTTCCAAATTGTCACAGCAATCATTTTCTAATCTAGTCATTTGCTCTTAAGTTGAATGTAAGCAATAGGGAATTCATAGCTGAAACCAATATGAAACTGACTCCATGGTCTCAACAGCAGGAGAAATCAGATTTACCCTAATAATGTATGTCATATTTGTTTCTTCTGTGTATTGATGTTACATTCATACATAAAAAGCTATTTTAAATATCCTTTGCATGTCAATCTGTTGTTCTCTCTGCTATAGAACTGATTTTATAGGACACACTATTTGGGGGTACCTAGAAGACAACAAAAAGTCTTGTAAAAGACAACAGGAGTTTGTCAAGAGTAAGTTATGACAGACCAATGTAATTCCTTCTGTGACAGTATAACAGGTCTTTGCAGACACAGCTGTGTTTGCAATTGCTGTAAGAAATGGTACTTGAAAGATGCAGGTGAAGTAAAATGTTCAAATTAAAGCAGCAAAAAATTATCTGGAAATGATGACCTGAAAGGAAAATGCTAAAATAAATAGGACTAATTAGCCTGCAAAGAGAAAAGAAAGGCAAGTCTCCAAATTTTGATAAAGGCTCTAGAAAAATAAGGGAATAATCTGTCCCCAGGACAGTAGAGTCTAGTTTGTATGCCTGTACTTGTCAGAAAAAAGCAACCCCGCTGGCAGCTTGGTTACGGGATGCCATGGACTGGAGGGACACCATCTCAAGATTCAGTTTCATTTTTAAGGAGGTTGATACCTACTGATGGCTAGTGGCCCACCCATGGAAACAGTGCTGAATGATCAGATATCTGACAGTGCTGGTGGGCAGAGGAATGAAGATGGATTGTCAAGGAAAATGAGGGACTTACCACTGTTCACTGAATTTTAGAAATCCAGCATGGAAAATTTTGCCATTAAGTGTATGAACCTGCCAGCATAAAACTGTACCCTACAGTATAGTATATAGCAAACCCTACTGTTACCCAGTGTTTACACTGGCTACAAGAAAACTTACTTTTCTGTTTGGGCTAGAACTCAAGGAAGTCCATTTCTTTACTCTGGCTGTAAAAAGACCTTTTTTTCCATACAAGTCAACAGAAATTTGTGTTATTTTGTTCTATGTGTAAATACTTTTAAAACTGCTAATTGTGTATGGAGCTGGCTTAATAGACACCCATAAATTGTTACAGGAGTTGAGCTTTCTAGGGTCATTTCCTCACCTTGTTGTCTTGGGTAACCGTTACAGCTCCTTGCACTGACAATGTGTCTGTAGTGAATGGGTAGTTGCAAAGCACTTGCACTGAATTTTAGGGGTTACCTGCATATAAGATTCTGAAATACAAATAGCTTACAGAGGACACACCACTATCATATCTTTTGCATTCCCTAAAACCCACAGTAACAGAAGCGGAGTTGTACCTTTGTGGAATTGAATGTAAAGTATTCATAGCAATACAGGTGTGCATACCGGGAGGGTATTTTATATGTCTGGTTCTTATATTCTCATTTGGTAGAAATCCTAATTTCCATTACAACAGTCATTTTAGGACTGTGATTGTGTTGTCATAGGTACATACAGCAAGCCTCGCCCGGTCCTCCTCTTTCACTAACAGATTTCTTCTCCACTGAATTGATGTGTCTTAGGTTCTTCCTCTCCTGCTTGGAGGAAAGGAGGTCCTTCCCTGGGGGTAGAACCTGTTCCAGAGAACTTTACGTTTGGGAAAGGAGACACACTGTGAAGTCTGTATTGTAAATTAATATTCCCCATGAAAGCTTCACAAGTGTCTCAGCTGCTTCCTTAGCATAAGGAGCCAAATCACTAAGGTCAAGTTAAGGCTCCTCAACTCAGTCTTCCCACAAAATAACCAGATTTTACCCATCTGAGGCTGGAAGTTTTTCTCTTCCTGCATTTCCTAAGCTGAATTTGTTAATGTTTGGAAGTGAGTGTTTTGTCTAGTGGTAAAACACAGTGTTGGAGACATGAGTTGAGATTTAGTTTGTAGTTTGGGGACAGTAACAAGCCCAGGACAGCTTTTGTCCATTCAATAACAGATTGGCTGGATTATCTTTTGATGGGTTATAAGACCCAAGACCAAAGAAGATGCTTTGCAATTAACTGAAGTTCATCACTGCTTAATTGTAACAAAAGGAAGATGAATAGTAAGATCTAGCTATGAATGTCACTGTTAGGTTTGATAGGGAAATGCGGAAGAAAATAAATATATTAACAAAGATGCAAGACAATTCACAGCTACACAAAACACATACCCAGTCAATTTTGCTATACAAAATCACCAATGGCCACCCTCATCTGCAGGGTGAAATAAATGCTAATTAGTTGCAGGCTTGTACTGCAGATGAAATCAAACAAAAATCAGCTTCTATACAGTCTACCCAAGTATAGCCCAAAGCTAATATTACAGTTTTGTGCATATTTAATGTTATTAAAACATTGTGTCCCAAACTGTCAAACTCAAGTAGATTTGTAACAAATTTGCATACATATTTAACCCCTTTTAAAAAGTGATTTTGGAAACCTTAAGAAATAAAATCTGTTTTAATAGTTTCCAATTAATTGCTGCTCAGTTTTTAGAAGTATGTAAGTTTAGATCTTGACTAAAAAATACCCACCTTTGATGATTTTAGGATTTTTTTACATGTATAGGTAAATCAGACACATGTACTGGACAAGGAGTCAGATGTCTGGGGAAGTGTAGTTCTGGAAAAATAATAAGTATTGGATTTCTAATAAAGTAATAAAACTTGGACTCCTCTGACGTTTGTTATATTTTTATTATAGCCAGTGATATTTCTATCCGTTAGCACTGAGGGGGAATGAATAATTTTTTTTAAGAGGAGGAGGAAGGAAAAACAGAGATCCAGAAAAACATGAAACATCTACAGCTTCTTGTTCATGAAGTTACAAGTAACAGCACATGTAGTGTTACATTTCATTCATGCTCTATAGGTCAGAACAGCTTATAACTGAAAAACCCTTTAACAAAGGATTTACAAAAAGAAAGAACCTCAGCAGGCTCTGTAGTTAAGGAGAGCAAAATATTGTTTATTATTACCCTGCCAAGTTTACATTTGCATGCTTTATTTTGTTGGACCAAGTCACTGAAGTTTAGTAATAACAAAGATTTTGTTTAACAAAAATAACACTTCTTGGATGATAGATTGGCGAGGGAGAGAAGGAAAGAAAGGAGACATTAAGATACTGGTGGAATAGACACCAAAGTGGGTTTGACTGTTCAGAAAGAAGAATGGCTTCATTGCATGGTGACGGTCTTGCATGACCATAATGTAATTTTTCTATCCTATGCTACATTGCCACAGCGACAATGAACTTGTTAGAGGCTGGAGAATTCATCAGCAAGGAGAGAGTAAAAAGAAAGATGGATGTTTATACCAGTGTAAAGTTTTTGGCTCACGTCATGTGTTATCTTGTCTTCAGTCCCTCTGCATCCTACAGCACTCAGTACTACAGAGGTATTTGAGAAGAAACATTCTGAGCTGGATCTTCTCTGATGCCATTTTATTTCAGCTTATTATGAGACTGGGCTAAAGCCAACTGTAACATTTAGATCTGGGTTCAGTTTCTAAACCCTGCCAAAGATTACGGTGGTCTGATCCAAACTTTTATTTCAAGTCTCTCTCTTCTCTTTTATCAGAGCCACATGGGGAGGTTGTTCTTCAGCATTTTCTGAAACATCTTTCATGCTTCAAGAAGTAATCTTTAACTACAGATCTTTGTCATAAAACAAGCAGAAAATATACTGTGGAAAAATCCGTCAGATAAGGGCAAAGACTTTGATTAAATGTTGCTGCTGAAACAATTCTGTAGGTGTCCCCACATTTTCCATCTCCACTTGGATATCCTCTGTTATGAGAAGGTCTCTCTGCCATACCTATCTGCAATGGCTCACCACCAATGAGCAACAGACAGGACTTTGGACTGGCCTGTGGCTGGTCCTCAGGGATGGAAGAAAGCATTTGGCAAGTCCATGCTTCTTGCACAGTGGTTCTCCGGCAAGTGTCCTTTGGTTAAGCCAGCAGTGCTTTTGGGCAGCTGTAGAGGTAGTGAGGGAAGGTAGTGTCCCATGGCTTCCTACTAGGACTGTCTTGTGTTGCTGCATGCTATGCAGCAATGGGTCACTGTCAGTAGTTGGGGAAACCTGTCTTCTGCTCAAGGAACCATGCTCCCTGATGCCCTCTGTGAGGAGCTCTGCCTCCTTGAGTGGTGACAAACTGCAAAAAAACAGCTGGAAAGTAGCAGAAAAGTCTCCCTAAAACCACACACAACTTCACTGACTTTATTTCCCTATAGATTTGCTACTTTAAGACCTCAGGACACTGAAATTATGCCTCCTACCAGTCTAGCCTTGAAATGTGTATTATTAAGTCAGGCATGAAATACCTTCCCTTTCCTAGGATAATGTGAAATAAAATAAAAACAGACAAACAAAAAACCCACTGTCTTGAACCTCTCAGGAAATCTTGGCAAGGGTCCATGCAAAGAACATAGCACTCTTTCATGTCAATCAAAACATTTCATTTTAATGTCTATGTGTAAAAAAAAATAATTCATGTGCCTCTGTACTACAATTTCTTCTTTCTAAATGACTGCCAGAAAATCCCCAAATCGCATCCCACAGAAAAATAGAACTAGTCTAGGTTTTAATTTACTTTTTTAAAATGAGAAATTGATCTTATGGCTGATAAACTGGAATTTGCTGATGAAAGATGTGTAGTTGCAAAATTTCAGCCAGCTCTGCTCATCTTTAAGCATCCTCAAAGTGCACGAGGGTGAGACCATACTGGGGACAGGAAAGCTGCAGATGAGAGCAACATGCAGACCTGGCACAGTTCCCCTTGGGAAAAGAATGAGGTTACAGGGAGAGGAGCTGGCTAGGTAAGGCAGCAGCCCTATGCCTTTCTGAAACCTAATGGCTGATGTGCTGACAGTGCATTTTTCCCCAGAAATAAAACAACAGTCTGACCCACATCATGGTGCTAACCTTTATTTCTCCTTCTGGTGACTGTAAATGCTGTTTCCCTTTCTTCTGCTCTGAGTAACTCATCCTTTTTCTACCACTTCAGGTGTCGTATTCCCTTACTCTCCACGGCTGGGTCGTTACAACTTAAACTTCCATGAGGCTCAGCAGGAGTGTCTGGACCAAGACTCTGTTATTGCCTCCTTTGACCAGCTCTATGATGCCTGGAGGTCAGGGCTGGACTGGTGTAACGCTGGCTGGCTCAGTGATGGCTCTGTGCAGTACCCCATCACCAAGCCCAGGGAGCCCTGCGGAGGGAAGAACACAGTGCCTGGAGTCAGGAATTACGGGTTCTGGGATAAAGATAAAAGCCGATATGATGTTTTCTGTTTTACTTCAAACTTCAATGGTAAGAGCCTTCTTCACCCCTATCTTGTAAACAACAGTTTCTGTGCTTAGGAAAGGAACTCCAATGGCAGCAAGTGATATCTGATTTGTCAAAGCTTATGTCAGGCTTGGAAAATGTTATTGCTGAATTTACAAGGACACATGCGCAGAGTAAAGTTGTCTTTGCCACATATTCACGCAGATCGTTTTTACAACTCAGAGCTTGTATTGGCAGGAGTTTCTAATATCTCTGCTTTCACCCTGTTAAAGTTTATATGTACTCTTTTAGTGTTGATATATGCCCAGTTTATTTCAGTTAAAGTGATGAAGAAACCTGCAATTCATTAATTGAACTTTACTGTTGAATTCAATTACAATTACAGTGTTTTACAACTTAAATATATCACCAAAACAAAATTCTGATCATCACTTCATCTGTGCTGTTGTGTCAAGCAGCTCCTGCTCATTTCCCGGGTCTAATATGACTAATAATTCCTTATCAGAAAAGTTATTTCTAGCTTTTATGCCTAATAATTTAGATTCCTAATCTTAGTACACTATCAAAACCCTGTTCACTTTTGCTCTGAGCTTGGTCTGGTCTAAACCTTATTTTAGTGACTGCAAGCTTTTGTGCTATTAGTAGATGTTACTTTAGGTATGAAATGACTTGATCTCAGCTTGCTATCATTTCAGGTTTAATCTAGTGGCTGAAAAGGATTTAGAAAGCATGGCCGTGAATGAGAGGAATGCTGCAAGTGAACATGGGCAAAAGGAGTCTACAATCCTCTACAGGATTGTACTTGTGGATAATTCTTACGCAACTTTGCACATGTTTGGCTTGCAGCCCACCCAGACCAAGAAGCATGGCCTTTTTTTTTATGCACAGACTACTTACCCACAATGAAGCATTTCTGTCCTACAGCACACCAAAAAATAAACATAAAGCTTGGTCTCAAAAAATATGCTCTAATGCTGTCTCCTCCACCCTCTCCAAAAAAACCCAAATCCTCAAACCAACAATATTAAATTGTCTGAAACAAAAGTTTAGCTGATTTTTATCATGCTGCATCATTCCATGAAATGCTGGCTCATTTTTTCTTGCTTCATTTATCCAAGGCAAAATCCTATATGAGCTCATCTCTTATATGTAGATTTAACCCTGTACTATAGAAATAGCACTGAGGAATAAAATAAACAAGGAAAAATAATTGCATGATAGCTGTACTATTTATAATGCTTGCAGAGTAATGTTTGTGACTACTGGTCATTAATCACCACCCTTTTCCACACTAGCAACTGGACCATATCTCTTAAGGAAAGAGAAAAATCATTTCTGAAAAACAAAAAAAATACTGACAGATAAATATTGTCTGTGCATTGATACAGCAAGAGAGAGAAAGAGAGAGAAAAAGGAATGAGTTAAGGTGAGGATAAGGTGTGCAGGTAGTAGAGAAATCAAAGACAAGGCACTAAAATGAATCCATCCTTGATGAGCCTGTTAAACTGACCAGACACAGCAATACGTTGATATATAGAGCTGAGCACCATCTTTTCTAGTTGCCTACAGCTCAGTGCCATGTAAGTCTCTCAAGGTGTCAGCAGAAAATCTGAGCTTCTGCTCCTCAGTGTCCATTTCTTTAACCAGCAACTCACCAGGTTATGTTATCCTCATATGTTCCTGCTGTGTTCTCCACGATTCATGTACCAAGCTTACCTTAATATCCACAATAAACCCAGTCATTCTCCCAAAATGCTAGCTTCCTATTTTCAGCTCAACATTTCAGATAGCTTATGTACACTTAACAGTATATGTTAGCTTTCTCCCTGTAAAGGGAAAAGCTTATAATAACCCGTTTTGCCACCAGGTTGCAATTGCCAAAGACAGTGGCCATGGGCACAGAGCTGTTTCTGCAACACCCAATATTGATTCTCTCGGCTCAGGAACAGCCAAGAAAAATGAGAAGTGGTTAGCACACTGTGCACTTCCAGCAGTGGCAGTGACTGCTGGAGTCTCCTGATGGAATGAAACAGAGAAGCCTTCAGCTTCATGTCAGGGATCTGGAAAAATGCCAAGGGCCCCAGAATCGGGGGAGTATAAATTGAACTTAAAAAAAAAAAATCTCAAAGAGTGTCAGTTGTGGGAGGTGCTATGAAGAAAGAGGGTGAGTGAGGTTTAGATTTCTGCTAAGTGGGTTCTTTTTAGGGAAAGAAATACCCCAAATACATTATGACCTCAGGGTTCATTAAAAAACAGAAAGGCTCCATTTTAAATACTACAGCAAAGCCAGAGAATCTTTTTCTAAAATACATGCAAAGCTTTTATTTTACCTGAAGAAAGGTACAAACCAGCAAAATTATATTCAGCCATTTCCATGAAAAATGAAAACGTAGTCATCAATGCAGTGAGTTCAAATCCAGCTTCATTGTTTTCACCCTGGAACTGTTGGATCCCATCTGTGATGAGCTGAATAAATACAATAAAATACTGGTAAAACAAGGAGGGGTTACACCATTACTGAAGAATTCTACCTGCATTCCAGTTGCCTGCACAGGGAAACTGTTTTAGCAAAGTTTGTCTGCAGTGCAATATAAAATAATCTTAGTACTTTATGAAATTACTTTCTGCAGCTTCTTTTCTTAGACCAGTATAAGTGCAACAGTTGAACATTTTCTTCTGCCTGTATAACTGCTTCATACTCAAATCATTCCATCGGTTCATAGAAGAACTGTTCATGTTTTGTGTCTATGCAGGCAAAGCCAAAAAACTGAAAATGTTCCATACACTTTGTAAATAGTACCAGCAATGTACTAGTTTAGAAGAATATAGTGATGTGTTTCATAAAACAATGCAAAGAGTAACATTAGCATAATTCTATCCACTAAATCCATCAAAATATTGTGAAATAACATAATTTTTTGCCTCCATAGACATAACTGTTGGATGGCAACATGCTTCCCAACCTGCTTTTACATTCCTCATGTTGATAAAGACTATTGAAAATGAAAATGCACAGGTGGAAAGAATCTAACTCAAATTTGGAAGTTCCATGTTGGAATTTCCTGATGTCTGTGTGCTCAGCTCCACTCCCTCACAGCCAATTTCTTCTCTCCTTTTTCTTCACAGTAGGATCCACTTTAGTGCATGTTCTCTTTAGAAAAGCTAAAGGTTCCTGCCCCATGTGGTGGGACAACCTGCCATGACTCAAAGGGCTCTGCAAGGGCTGCAGACCACCCCAATTTCTCTCCTATCCCTGCCCCAAGGAATGGGGATGCTCCTCTTTCATTCCCTCTAGAAGGTCAATTTGGGCTTCTACACACCAATTCAGGGGAATAAATGCAGCTAAATTCTTTTGTTGCAGTGTTCACTACAGAGCCCAAAAGGCATGGGACAAAGAATATATGATGGTATAGCTGTGTGGTTATTATTTGTTTAATTTCAAAGGGTTTCTGAAGGAGAACAGAGTTTCTCGAAGAAAAAAGCATAGGAATCTTCTGCACTGAAAAGTGCTAAGTGAGCTAAATATAAACATATCTATCAGCTCCTCTATAATTAAGCATTTTCAGACAAAAGAAGGTGTAAGTAGAGCTTGCATCACACTTTCTGCTCATTAACATTTTGTTGTATACCTTGCACACAGAACCACAGTGCATAATTGATTTGTTATCAGTTCTAGCAGAATCAAGTAAAAATCTCATGTTACCCAAGTTAAAAATACAAAGAGTACATTTTAGGGATCATGTTAAAAGTGCAGCTGTGAACCATCTGTTTATTACAGTAATGCATATGACAAGCTAACCACCTCTGCCATTTAAATGGGAGAAAGATACAGAAAGTCATCTCTGAATAATGCATGCTGACGGCTCATTTGACCATTTGACCTCTTCAGAATATTTTATCACTGGGAACATGTAGCCATTGTTCCAAAAAGAGAAACAAACCTCCCAAAATGAAAATTTTGTAACCTTTCTTAGAAATGGTTGCTTCTGAGTCACCAGATTCACTACTGATATTGGCAGGGGCTGGGACAGGATTTTTAAAAATTGTTCCCACATCACAAATTTTTAACGTGTTCTTCAATATTGAGGAACAATGGCCTCTCTCAACCACTTAGTATTGCTATAAGATATACTGAACTGAGTCTGCTGAGCAGATGACAGGGTCTACATGTTGTGCAAGCTACAGATACACCCCACTGGCTGCTGAGAATGCCTTTTATGGCCGTATGAAACCATTAATTAGATCAGTTTGCTGTTTACACAGTAAACGAACTTAACTGATTTCTGTGGCCATAAGCTTTTCAGCGTACACACGATCGCTCACTGCAAAGGCAGTCCTGCACTCAGCCTTCCTCCTCCGTGTGCTGCCACCACCATGCAGGGCTTGCTGCTCCGCTGCCTCTGCACAGCGTCGGAGCAGCGAGGCTAACCAAGAGGCTGTCCCAGCAAGCCACTAACCTGCCAGGAGTAGTCAGGGCTGAGCCCAAGTGCTTAGATACTTGATAGCAGGCTGCACATGGAGGCATCCCCTCTGAGCACTCCTCCAAGAACCCTCTTTTGAAGGCATTGCATTAACACTTCCATGCAGAAAATAGCAAATGGGGTGGTACTGCCTTTCTGTGCCTCTGAAGATGATGGCCCACAGTCTAGTACACCCAGCTGCAATATAAAAACTTACTCTTAAATCTCTCAGTTTGGAGCTGAAATTGGAAAAATCTCCAAGGGTGGTGCATCCCTCAAACTTCCATAGTCACAAGTTTTCCTCTTTAAGCTGTTCTGTTACATGCAAAATCTTAAAATAGCTGTTATAAATGAAGTTTGATTAAGTTTGCATAAACCCTCTACCCCATGACTTGGATGTGAGTAGTTAAATCAAGCACACTCATCCTCTGTAGGAGTGACCTAACTACCAGGTATTAATGAGAGACAGGCAGTTAATGCCTCCCTCTCCTTCCACATCAATTAATAAATACTAAGATTGCACAGTTAGGAACCCTTCTAACCTATTAGCAAGGGAAAACCAGCAAATCTCTACTGAGTTTATTAACAGAATTTTATTTAATCAGACATTCTGGATACACGTTGCACCCCTGTGGGGTTTACTATTAAAGTTCTCCTATTTAAGGAAGGGGTAGAGTATAAGAGTTTTTATTATTGATGTCATATGTGAAAAGCCTGACCTTACTGCAAATCCCTAGGAAATTACATTCCATTGACATATGGTTTGAAGAGCAGCTAATAAGCTAGGTGAAGTTTACATACTATCAGTCCAAATCCCTGTTCCCTGAAGTCTGAAATCCTGTTTGCTTTGGGGAAACCTCTTAATAACACAGTAGGAACAGGTTTCCACTTAATAAACATTCTCTTTAGCAACACCTTGTAAATGCTCTCAACTTGCTGAAATGGAGTTAAGCAAACATTTTACAAAGGGGTAGATTATCTGCTCTCAACAGTTTTCTGTTGAAATACTGTAGATATTGTCTCTGACAGCAATGAAATTTTTTGAAAGTTGCTCCACCACAGCTGCAATGTAAATGCTTCTTTTTTTTTTTTTTTTTTTTTTATAATGTTCTGGTCACGGTTTATGATTTCCAACCTTTACAAAAAGTTAATTCAATTATCTTTATAGTGTCATCTGACCTGACATTTCTTCACTTAAAAAAAAAGCTATGTGCTTTTTGCAGGGATCTGGAGCTGACATAACTCTTCATCTTGCTCACCACTTTTTGTTCACCAAGAAAGTAATCTGAAACAGCAGAATTCTGTTTGTGTGTTTGCCTGGTTTTTTATGAGAAAGAAAAAGGATATTATTCTGGAGTACATTCTTAATCAAGAAATAGAGTGTGCTCTGGAATTAGAGGATCCCCACATGAATAAATTCCTTTGTTTTTCAGCTAACTTGCCTCTTACAGGACAGTCAGATTTAAAAGTTGTGAATTTATTTAGAAATCATTATTCCTTCAAAAAAACACAGTTCTTCTGCAATCCATTTCTACCTCACACTTGGTTAATTGTCAAACCAGTGATGATAAATAACACCAAGTATAATGAATGAAAGGCTTACAATGAATTTATATTGTCTTGATAAATGAAATTAATGTTAGTAATATTGATGCTTATGGATTAGTAGGAGAGACTTCCTTTTTGAGCTTTACTTGCCGGCATATGTTTTCATTACCTTGAGACACAGGCACATTTTTCTTAGCAGCACGATCAGTTACGGTAAGGATATACCCTTTGATGCTTAAAGAGAAACAGAGCTGCAGAACTGGTGCACATGGTTTTGACACTGCTAATGAAGACTTACAACAGACATGGTTTTGATCTACCACAGGCTCAAACTCTGCTTCTGAGAAGCTGTGCAATATCTCAGCTTTCTTACAAGGGAAAAAAAGAAAAAAAAAATTGTGCTTGCACTTAATCAGAAACAAGGTCACCGCCTTGTCAGAGAGTAAAACTGCATGTGTTACCTCCAGCCACCCTCACCCAAATGCTATCAAAGGTCAAATCTTCCTATGCCATGTTCTGAGAGAAAAACTCCTAAGGGTTTTAAGCTAATGCTGGGAGCATAATGTAGAAGTGCACTGCTTTGGATGTTTAACTGATTTCCCTTCTCTGACAGTAAGTTACAGCTGCATGAGACCTGCTTTGCCTGAAATCTATGGGGTTCCTCAGACATTTGACTGGATTGTCATTGGCACTTTGTTGGTAGTTGCATCTGGCACCATAAAGTCAGATGCAGAACAGGTGCCCTCCTCCAAATCCCAGGGTGCCTTCCATCGTCCCTCTCCCCCAGGCTTCTTCCTGCTGTTTTTCTACCTCTGAGGATGAATATGCACTGCAACAGTTCAGTTACCACTGAAAGCAAGTGAGGGTGGGAACGCCATGCTGTGCTAAGTTAGCAGAAATAATTATAGTGTTACTTTTGTCTGTTTTCTCTACTTACCTTTTTTTTTTTACTCCCGATATTTATCAACTCGCTGTACAAATAATTAAGATATTTTTAACAGTACAACATCCAAATTGCACAGCCCCAAATCAACCACTGTTTGATGTGATTCTACAGTGGAACATCTGCATTTCTCCTCAAACCATCTTTATAATATCACATCATCTTAATCATGTCGCTAATGACCCTTTTTCCTTCTTTCTTCTACTAGGTCGTTTTTACTACCTAATTCACCCGACCAAGCTGACCTACGATGAAGCTGTTCAGGCGTGCTTGAAGGATGGAGCTCAGATTGCTAAAGTTGGCCAGATGTTTGCCGCCTGGAAGCTCCTGGGGTATGACCGCTGCGATGCTGGCTGGCTAGCTGATGGCAGCGTCCGCTACCCAATCTCCAGGCCAAGGAAACGTTGCAGTCCTAATGAAGCAGCAGTTCGCTTTGTAGGGTTCCCTGATAGAAAGCACAAGCTGTATGGTGTCTACTGTTTCAGACCATACAACTGAAAATACCTAGAGCACAAAAGTTTTAAATTCATTAAGAACGTGTGAAAGATTTCTTTTTGATATGAACTCATGCAAGTTACCAAAACTGTGATAAACAATTTTTACTTACTGTAAAGAGTCATTTTCATAAACCCAACCCATTAATTTGGTTTCTTTTTTGCTTTAATATTTTTGTAAAAATATCATTCCATAGATATTTTAAATTAATATAATTTAATGGAAGCTCTAGGTAAGGACGTTTTAGAGCCAAATTCTTTAAGCTACATCACCCTAACAAAGTACTCTTTCATGAAATGGGGCATGCAATAGAGCTTGATGATTGCTAGGGCACAATTATGGAATGTAAGGCTACTCAAAGCAGAAGCTTTTAAAAGCACAAATTTTGCATATTTGTATTAGTTTGAGAAACACTGCAAATTGATTATATCAGGTTTGGAATAAGATATTCTTTTTGTTAAAGGGGATCAGTGAGGTTTTGCAAAAAAACCTCACAACAACATAGGTTAGAAAATAACTGTTTTCACTGATTTCACATAGTTAAATACACAGAGTTTAATAAAAGCAGCTAAAACAGTCCACAAAAGTAGGACTAGTTTTACAATATAAAATCTTGCCTTTCTGAAAAATAAGCTCATGGTCCCATGCATAGAAACAAGCACAATTAGTTCTCCTGAACATTTCAATTGTGTTTTTGTTGCATAAAGTCATTGATGAGGGAGTGAATAACTAATAAGAAAACCCTATTTTCATCTTAACTCCAATTAAAGATGCCTGAGAAGTGTTGTATTACCTTTGAGTAGCTTTACTGAGTTATTTCTAAACTCTTAAAGGCCATTTGCTAAGCAGCATATAGCATCTACTCAGGGCAGTTGTACTAATGAACTGCTGGACAGAGAAATTGTAAACTTTAGCAGCTTGATTTTACATTAGCCTTTGAAATGTTATTGTTATGAAAGAACATTACAATATTTAATACTTCTTACCTATTTACACATCACAAGAAATAAAAATTAGAAAAAAAAATTAAAATTATTAAGTCTTAGAATAAGATTATTAAATAAAATCTGAAACCAGCTATTAAGGTTTAGAAGAAAAAAAACACACTTTATTTCCTTACATCTCATTTTTGCCTAAAAATTACATAGGTTTTTTAAACTATTGATGAAAAAAATAGTATCACTAGCCCTGAATTATTTAGTTAATCCTCCTTAGACTTAATAAGAAAAAGTACTGAAATACTTCTTTTCACTAAATCTGCAGTGGTCTAGGTGGAAAATGTTTACCTATATCTGCTAGTGTCAGAGATAAACATGTACTGTGCATGGTGCCTAGGATTTTCTGAGCTGCGTAAAGCACTAGGTCCTCCCTAAATACCAATTTGAGGGAATTTGGATTTCTGATGCAAACTTATTTTGGATGCAGCAATTCTTGGTGCTCATCTTCAGATACCTTAATGCAACCAGTTTTTCAGAGAGTGGGTGCTCAAGGCTTTCTGAAAATTTACTACACTTATGGTGTCTCAAGCTGGATATCCAAATAACAAAGAGGTCACTGATTAAAAAATCTTGGTCTTGAGTAACCTCTTAGGCATTTTTGACATTCTCTATCCAGTATTGGTTCTACCACTTACAAATGGAGAACTCTTTTTCCTACTCTATGCTTGCTGACTATGAAGATTTCAGAGGACCAATATTTGTATTATGCAGTTTTATAGCTTCCCATTGTTTCCATATCTAAATGAGATATAGTGGTATTTATCCAAGTAGGACACAAGTGGTATGCTTTCATGAACAGTTTGGTTTAATTATTTTCCCATGGACATGAGTAAATAAATCTCTTTCCCGGAGTGGTTATGGTCCTGTTTTAAAACTCTGTGAACAAACTAGGAACAATATATGGTAGGATTGTTGTGGAAAGATACCATAGTGTAAGTGCTATTATACTGGAGTTCATTCCCATCAAGCTCAGAGGCAAATTACCACCCTTCTGAGGATATTTGCACCCACTGTGGATATTTGCTCATACTATACAGATGAAGCAATCTCAGTGCCAAAATCCACATTTTTAAAAATCTACTAGAAATTGGATTTTCTGGAAACTCTATCACTTAGCTATTAATAGAGATGTATTACAGGTCAAGCCCCTACACCCATGTAATCTTTTCTGAACATCCATTTTTTAAATCAGTGTCTATTTCACACATTTTCTCAGGCCATTCAGAACCTTTTCTGAACCCTTTGGAGAAAAAATGGAAATGGAAAGGGAAATGGAAAATATCCGTACAGGGTAAGGAATGGGGTATGCAAGACTGGACCATGACCAAGAGGAATACATGTTGTTCTCCCATCCAACATTCAGAAACATGGAAAAAGAGGCAGACTATTTCATAGCCTTTTCTGAAGTTTGGACAGTGAGGCTGTGGGATGGGAAAAGCTATAGGGAATATCCCAGTTGTTACCCCAGCTAGATCCAGAGTTGCTGTAAAGAGGGAAACCTTTTATGCAGCTAGCTCTATCCTCCCCAAAGATCTGCTAGATCTGGAGGAGGCTGCATGGTTTTCCTATTGCACAGAGGTGAAGAGACCCTCATGAAATTTTTTTTACCTCTCCAGGGAAACCCTGTACAGGGTTTCACCCAAACACATCTTTTTTGCAGGACTGGGGATTATATTTTGCCTGCATAAAAAATGTACACATCCAACCCACTTGTGGGGCTGGCTAAAGTGCCCTCACTGCTAGACCAAAGGCACTGCGGGAAAGGCGAATTCAGCCTTTCACCAACTTTGCAACGCTCTGGAGATGGCTGGTCAGGTCCTAAATCACAGCAATCTCAGGCTTGCGCTAGCTTATGCCTTCTGCATTCATATCTCCAGGCTGTCGCTGTGACAGCCCGGGTGTAGCACCCCCCTAACCCACCCCTGCTTTGTGCATCACCCATACCCCAGGCCGGTGGCTGAGCAGGCTCTGCACCACCCAGGTGATCCCTCAGCTCCAGGGAAAGCCCCTGAGCTCCCAGCTTGGCAGCACAAAGAGACCACAGGGCAACAAGGAACTAGGTCTCCAGCAAGATTCTGAGCTGGCATATGATCACAGATGGCCAAATTTATCGTTGAGTTATGCCTGTAAGTTCGCATTGAAGATATTGCTTGCTAGGAATCATATGTTCATGTAATGGAGTCGCAGTATGTAAATTTGCATTCGTCATGTTACTTATGAAGAGCCCAATAGTCTAATTTGGGATCAAGCTAGATTTAGATCTGTGTATTAATATAAAACATTATGTATTATTATAACAGACACAGTTCATTGGATAGTTTGATGAAAATATGCGTATATGAAATAAATAATTAGTTCAATGTAAGCAGGTATAAAACCCATAAAAAATGTATGATTACCTGAGAAGTGGGCACAAATAGACAAAAAGACACGAATTATATTTATTTTTACAGCTACTGACTCCATTTCTTTCATAAAGTCAAACGTCAGGATGTTTTCTTATTTTCGACTAAAGCTAGCTAGGTGCTTGGATAAAAACTTTAAAAAGCAGCTTAAGAACTGGATAAAAGTCTGTGCTATTTTCTGTTCATGAGAGAATATTCTATAATGAGAACCAATTCATCTTCTCTGTCATTATCTTGTATTTCACAATGTATCTGAATTTTAATGCCCATGAATTGACAACAATTAAATCATGTTGTTCTTTTCAATATGATGATTTCTCCTTATTGACTGGCCATTCTACTTCTGTCCCAGAAAACACAAAAAGAAAAGACATAGATCAAAGTATAAAAATACTTACTTTGCCAAAGTAAACGAAGTGATCACAAGGGGAAAAAAAAAAGACTACTCTATGAATATGATTTACAATGAAAATAAAGAAAACTGTACTCCAAAGCCTTTGGTTTATGCTTCTTTGAAGCATTCTGGAAGTAGAAATTCAAGTACCAATTTCTTCTTTGTGTTCTGTGCCATCTTCTAAAATAAAATAAAGCATAAATAAGGAAGGCTTTTTTATATATGTATGGTTGGTGTTACACTGCGTATGCATCACTAGAAACTGGATGTAGAACAGTGTTTCATGTATGGGAAAAAAACATGAAATTATTTATATAATCCTATGGCCTTAGAAATTAAAAACAAACAAAAATCACACTTTGTAATGTACAACAAGAAAGATTTCTAGTGTCAAGCAAAGAGTTAGTTCTTCAAAGCACTGGGCCAGCTTTCCAGCTTCTGTAATCACACTATTTCTGCATTCTTTTATTGATCTGTGCCGGAGAGTTAACCCTGAAAGTTACCTACACTGCACCACTTTGCTGAGAAATACTAATCTTCCAGAAGCTTTCAGTATATCCGGCATGTTTTAAAATAGATGAAAAAGAGCTTAGGAAAACTTGTCACTCAGAAAAAGTGAAATCTGTATTACCCTCAATACATGATTGAGACAAACATAATTTATTTTCTAACAATTCAGTTAGAAATTTTAAAGGGGTAATATTTTCATTTTACAACATTAAGCATAAAATTAAAACTGCCTTGGTAGAAACAGTCCCTCAATAATCAGGATCTTCATTAACAGTAGCCACTTCCATTGAATGACATCTCGCTATTCAAAATAGAGACATGGTCTTCATGTTTGGAAGTGACCGGATTTAAGACCTAATAGAACTGCCACAAAACAAGAAATGTCTAGATTTTCACCTAAAGACTTAGTAAATTAAATAGTAGGGTGCCATTTTATTCTCTCATTTACTTACAAAGGATACCAGCAGCTTTCTGTTCAACACCACCAACAGCTAGTTGTTCTTCTTGAAGGAGCTGAAACTTATATATTTGTTAGACATTTTCTTCCTTTTTCAGAAGCAGTTACAAAAGTTGAACAAATATGCTGCAGAGCAGTAAAATTCCAGTGCCAGGTAATTCACTACATAAAAAAAGACAAGATTTCTTCGTGTTTCAAAACAAAAATACAAAACAAATGAATAGTCTTCATTTCAAGAGAAAGGCAAGGTGAACTGATGAAAAATAAATACTAGTGAAAGATAATTACTCCTCTTCCCATGCCATAAATAAGGATGGCCCCTTTAAAACAGGGGTGACCTGAGAGATCTTTAAGAAGAAAAAGGAAAGACAACAGAAAGCAATACTTCAGCTCCTGATCTTCCACACTGAGTTTACTTTTGTTATATTCTGCCCAACAATTATTAAGCCACAAGTTTGAATATATAATTTAAAAAAACCCAACAGATTAATAATAGACCAAGAGTTTGGAAAGGATTCCTTCTTTTTTCTTCATCAAGCCTCAAACTGGAAGTAGGAAATTCTGATTAGAAGTCCTTTGAGTCTAATATTTTCCCCTTTTTGTCTGAGAATGTCTCAATCTGTAAAGCCACAACAAGGCAAAATGTAAAGTCCATCTATTTCTTCAATATTGTGCCAGAGGCAAACAATTATTTGACTAATAACAACAGCCCTAACAT